GGGCGTGGTAGAGCATGCCTGTAATTCCGGCTACTCGGAAGGCTGAGGCAGAAGGATCGCTGGAGCCCAACAGGCGAGGGCTGAGGTGGCCGGAAGCGGCCACTGTACTCCAGTCTGGGGCGACTGAGTGAGACTTCAACTCAAAAAAAAAAAAAAAAAGTAGTGTTAAGATTTCTAATTCTGGACAAGATAGAGAAAAGGTAACAGATTTAGTCTCCCACTGGAAACAAGCAAGAAATAGACAAAATATGTGAAATAATGAGAAACATTGAATATCAGGCAATGAAGGACAGTAATATATGAGAGAAGCGAGATAAGCACGGTGAGTCCTATGAGTGTCTCTGCTTATTTCCATAAGAGTTTTCAGGTTGAAGAGCAGGAAGGAGGAATTCAAGCAGAGCCTGGCTGACTTTTTGAGTTGAGGAGATATAGCTGAGATTCTGGGGAGACAAAGGTCACTAGAATACATAAGACAGTGTACAAAAGAGGAAAGAACTTCTTAGAACTTTATAGAAGCAGAACTCTAGAAATCCATAGAAAGTTTCCACCAACTCTGTAGCTGAGTATTTATCAATGTATGTTTGTTAGGAAACTACCTGATGCCAGGAAATAGGCCATCTGACAAAATTAGAGATAACAGTGTCTGGCACTCACACATGGTCATGACCAGAAGTAGTACCTTTTCCCACCAGCCAGACTGAGAAAAGCATTATAATTAATTGAATAGAATAAACAGAAGAGCTTTAACTCAGTAGTGGGAAATACTTAGCTCCAAACTGACCACTGCTTCAGTCTTGTATAATAAATCTTAAAAGCAAGACCTTCAAAAAATCAAACTGTTTCCAGGTAACTTAACTGCATCCCAAACAAAGCTCAAGAATATTTATAGGAATATAGAAACAGGGACCAAATTCACATTGTCTTGATTCTAATAAAAAAAATTAGCAGGTTTGCAAGGATGTGGAGGGGAAAATGACTCATAATGAGAAGAAAAATCAGTTAAAACCAATGCAGAATTGACCCAGATGTCAGAATTAACAAACTATTAAAACAGTTATTATAACTGTAGTATAAGTTCAAAAAGTTAAGTAGAGACATGAAGACATTAAAAAGGTCAGCATTAAACTTCTAAAGATTAAAATGAAAAATACACTGGATGAGATTAATGGCAGAGCAAACATTGCAGCACAAAAGAGTAATTAACTTGAAGATATAGACTTTAAAAACTACCAAAAATGTAAATAGATAAAAAACAAATTGAAAAAGTGAACAGAGCATTAGTAAACTGTATAACAACTTCATGTGGCTTACCATATGTGTAATTACTATATTCTAAAGTGAGGTGAAAGGCAGAGATGAAAATAATTTGAATAAATAATAACTAAGCCGGGCTCGGTGGCTCAGCCTATAATCCCACATCTTTGGGAGGCTGAGGTGAGTGGATTGCCTGAGCCTGCGGGTTCAAGACCCGCCTGGGCAGCGAGACCTCATCTCTACAATAAATCAAAAAATCAGCCGAGTGTGGTAGCGTGCGCCTGTAATTCCGGCTACTTGGAAGGCTGAGGCGGAAGATCGCCGGAGCCTGGCAGGTCGAGGCTGCGGTGGCCAGAAGCGGCCACTGCACTCCAGTCTGGGTGACAGAGTGAGACTCCAACTCAAAAAAAAAAAAAAATAATAATAATAACTAAAAATTTTTCTGAATTTTATGAAAACTCTAAACCCATATATGTAAGATGTTCCAGTACAGGAAACATGAAGAAAATTATACCAAGGCACATGATAATCAAATGGTTGCAAACAATGATAAAGAAAATCTTTAAAAGAGCTTATATCTTAAAAGAAAAAAGATGTGACATATAGAGGAGCAAAGATAATGATGACAGCAAGTTTCTTGTCAGAAATAACTGCAAATGAGAAGGCAGTACAGCAACATCTTTAAAGTATTGAAAGAAAAATCTGTTA